CCTTTGTTTAAACCTTAGGCAAGAATCCCAAGAGTGAACTTAATTGGATTGCGGTGTAAATGACTATTTCTGCATCACAAAAGAGCAGCTCTTTCCAGCCTAAACCACAGCGCTGTTTTTCACCTCAGATCATTTTCTTGCTCTTTGGAAAGCAGACTTTAGTCACAAGTTTTGCTTTCAGTCCCGTGGCCTTCTAGGTCGTATCTTTAGGGTTCCCTTAGGTGGACCTGGGTTTTCCTGGCATCGTTCCACAAACTTCATTTTTCGATGTTTTCTTCCTACAGCGTCTTGTTAGCGCTGTGTGGGGATGGGATTTGCAATTGAAACTCTCATCTCCGCTATTCAGTCAGCCACCACGCTTCCTTGTTTTAATTTCCATAAAATGTCAGTAAATGAGTCTTTTCACCTTTGGGTGAAGAGTCAATAGGAAAATCAATTCTGTGACAAATGAACAGCAACATAATTTTACATCTGAATTATGGAGCAAAGACTCTTTTTATCTTTGAAGGGAAAAGCTCAAGGTGAAATTCAGCAGAAAATTACTAATTTACAATTATAACATTGTCCATAGAATTGCACATCCAGCCAGGCACGGTGGTGTATGCCTGTAATCCCAGCACTCTGGAGGCTGAGGCAGGAGTATTACAAGTCTGGGCAACTTAGTGATATAAGGAAGCAATGTGGGAGTTGGAACCTAGCCATGATGTGATTGTACATTTAAAAAAGCTCAAACCTGTCTGGGCAATTTATCATCTTACTGAGACCCCGTCTCAGAGTGAAAAATGAGAGGGAGTTAGGACTTAGCTCAACGCAAAGGCCCTGGGTTCAGTCCTCAGTGCACACAGAAGTGGTCCCTCTTCACGGAAGCACCCCCACACCAGGGGGCCCTGTGCTGCCTCGGCTTTTGCAAAGTGCATCCATTTATCACTTTTCTTGAGGGGTCAGATCCCCCCCCTTATAAACCACAAATTCCTGCTTTTTCATGACTGCTCTAGATAAAGTGGCCCCCTTTGAATGTCATAATTTAAAATCACAGAATAATTTCCAGTATCTTACTAGATCCCCACCCAACAGTTTTGTTTTCAAAGCTGTTGAAACTAGCAGGCAGCCTGGCACACGAGTTTGAAAATCCTGGTCTTATACCTGTTCTGGAAAGATGCCATCTTTCCACGCTCCCCAGAAGTAATGATTCTGGACGTAACGTGAGCTCACTGGCCCCGGCGCAGCGCACAGGAAGTCTGCCGTGACCACGCCCATCTGTTGTGGTCAGAGCACAGGGCACACAGGCACGGGACACGTGTACCTGCATGGTTTCTGAGAATGTCTCCAGTAAGTCCCCAGGGCTTTCCTGCTGGTGACAGGGACTGATCTGGAGCTGCCAGAGGCAAAGGACATCGCCACCCTCTTCTCTTCCCCGGGCCTGAGGGAAGTGAGCTGCCTACCTGTTTCTAAGTTCTAAAAATGGGCCCACAAGTGATGCTATATCTCCCTTGTCTCCTTCATGGTCCAGGCATTCAGAAGTCTCCTCCACTTAAACTCTGTCAATAAGTACCCTGGATGCTAATGGTTGACAGACATTAATTTGTCCATTTTGGACCCTAAGGACACCGCAGTGTTGTCAAGCAGTTGCTAAATCTACTCACATGGAGTAGATCAACATCCTTCCAACTTGTGTAATATATATGACTCTGTTTAAATGAAAAAAATTTTTTCCATGCCCCTTAACATCATGAAATTATTTTTAGCAGTGTTAATCATATGCGTGAACTCACAGTTACGTAAGATCTCTTCAAACCTTGGCCCACGTCAGAGCTGAATAGCAACAGCACATTTACCTATGGAGTAGAGTAAAAACCTGCAAAAGCAACACTGTTGGAATGCGTGTTGCATACAAGATTTCATCCAGCTACGTGACGTGAGTGTGGACAGCATGAGCCTGGTGCTGACTGTGGCAGTTTGTTGGCCTCTTCACATTCTTTGGAGAATGTTTGCCAACTTGTGCAGTTGGTCAGCCGAATCTCTCTACCTGGCTTTCTGTGTGGACCCCTGGACAGCCTGGAACTACTCTCCCTCTCACTTAGGAAGGGAAGAGAAGTTATTTGCGTATTTAATCCAGCTGCTCTTTGCTCATTAACCTGGAGCATCATAAATAATGCAGTATTCAACTCGTGTCAACCTGTTTGTACATAAGACGCAGAGACAGAGAAGCTTATTCAGCACTAGCTTAATGCAAAGGATGCAAGGCATCACTGAATTACATTTTCTAAAAATGAAAATATCAGTGTCAGAAAATCTAAATTGTTCAAAAATATGACCTCAGTTTCAGAGGCATGGCATTTAACCCTGGTTTAAATTGCTCACTCAAATCTGTGTCTACTTTTATATTACTCCTAAAATTAAAGCGAAGCTCCAGAATTGTCATTCTCTGCATGCATAACCTTCTCTGGTTTTAAATCATATATAAACCATGCTTGCATTGTGAATCAAGCTGTTGCTCCGTGTTCTGGGCAGCGATTCTTAAGCGATGATTGGGATGTAAAGCCCTAGTTAAGAACGTGGGCTCTGGAGACAGGCTCTGCCACGTTCCCTTCGATGCTGAGCAAACTGCCTGACTTCTCTGCACCTCAGTTTCCCCACCCACACTTTTTTTGTTGTTTTTTTTGTTTTTGTTTTTCTCCGGTACCGGGAACTGAACTCATGACCTTGCGCTTGCCAGGCAGGCACTTTGCCGCTGAGCTAAATCCCCAGCACCCCCCCACCCACACTTTCTAGGGCACGTCAGAGGAGTTAATGCTTGTAAGATGCCCAACACAGCACCTGGCACATGTTGAACGCCCCAGAGTTCAGTGACTGAATTTTATACACATCCCCGCCACTCCACATTCTTGGCTTTTTCCACTGGCTGAGGAGCAGTCTGGCCTCCACAAGGGTCTGCCTGCTAAATTCCTCACTTCCCGGTCCTCCTGGTGTCGTGCTGGAGACGCACAGCAAACACTCGTGTCGGGGCAGTTCTGCTCTGCAGCCCACTTTCCGTGGACACCCAGAAGTCCGCTCTCCACGGGCCTTTTAGGACCCAGCAGTCACAGTCTCCTTTGTGTCGAGCTTCATTCCAAAGCTTCCCTGTCATTCAGTTTGGGAAGCTCCTTTGACTAAAAACCATCTCGGAGACCTGGCCATGGACTCTGAATGTGGGCTTGGCCTTCACAGCTTCTACGCTTTATACCGCCCTCTTGATCCCAGCCTTTGACGTTCTCTCGTGCACATGAGCAGTGCGATCACGTGGGGTTCAGCGGTGGCCCTGGGACACCACCTGCCTTGCTCCTGTCAAGGGACTGTCCTCTCCCTACATGTCACCGCCACTTTGCCCCATGGTGGTCTCTCTCTTTGGTGTTAATGGAGAGGCTGTGAGGGGTGGGAGAGCTTGTGGGATGAGGTACCTGGTGCTTTGGGTGTGGGGAGAACCATCTCCTTTCCTCCAGTTTCTGTCATTCTAATTCCTCGACTCTGTCATTCTAATTCCTCGTCATTCTAATTCCTTGTAACCGGCACACACACTTAGGAGTAGCCAGAAAAAACAGCGTCCAAAATATCCAGCTGTGATGGACAGCTGGCTGCTGACAGAAGAGAGGACACCACAGCAGCACAACTGCTGGCCCCACTGTGCCCTGCTGGAGTTGGGGAGCTCAGCCTGCAGGCACCACTGCGAAGCAAGAGGAAGTAGCAAGTGAAAGCAGCCGTGTGCACCTGCTTTCCGGCAAAGGCCAGAGAGGGCTCACGTCTGAGAGAGCAGTTGTTGCTTAGCCGATCACTCTGCCTCACAGACAACTTGGAAGGTACCGCTTGGTGCCTGGAGGGCTCTGGGTATGCTCGGGCACAGCTAACCCCCCTCAGGGGAACCAGCTTGATAGTTCAGTGGCTGCTTCTTGCAGCATCTAACTGGGAAACAGTGTGTGTGTTTCCGTATTGTGCTGGTTACCCAGGTCCCTCCTGGGGTAATGAGCTGTGGTCAGGACCCACCGTGTTGCCTCCTCTGTCATGTTTGCCTAGTGATCTGGGGGCTGGGTGGAAGCCTGGCTCCTGAGGGGGTGGAGCTTGAGAGATAGCTATTATTGGAGAACACCGATAAGGTGTGAGCAAACTATACAGTGAATTTTTAATGCAAAAACGTTTATTACAATAAAAGACACATTGCCCTTCCTCCCCCTCAGAACCCTTCTCCTCACCTTGAACACACTTATCCTATTGTTTCTACCACTTTCTGGAGCAGTTCTGGAAATTCCTCTCTCTTGGATTTATGAAGTGTGATCAGAAACACAATATATTCCACTATAGCTTACCATCCAACAGAAAAAACAGGCTCGTGAAACATGACGCTGTGCCCTCATCCGCCCTATGCACTGGGTGTGGCACCATGCAACTTCTGTCTCTTCCCCAAAGCCAAACTGACCGTGAAAGGGAAACATTGTGAATCGCTTCAGGACACTGAGGCAGCCCGGACAGCACGACTACAGACACTCAAGAAAGAGGACTCCAGAGCTGCTGCAGGAAGTGGGATCGATGATGGGATGAGTGTGTTCAAAGGAAGGAGGAAATTATGAAGGAGATTAATGGTAGTATATCTTTTACAGTAATGATTTTTAATATTTAAATATTCACTGTATTTATTACAAACAAATTAAGTGAAGAAGAAGTACAGGATGTCCTTTGAGTGTCCATAATGACGAAGTGCGGGGCAAGTGGGCTGGGTACCAGCCTGGGCGGTCTGGAGGGCTGGCTCACAGCAACCCACACTCTGCCTCCCAGTGCAGGGTCCTGTTCGCACCCTCACCCAGTGCTTGGCGGCCGCCTCCCTCCTTGCCCTTCCCATCAGTCTTGGGCAGGAGGTCCTGAGATGAAGACCACTTCTGTCCACCCAGTGCTGAGCCTTCGGGCCAAATGTTGTGACCACAAGCCATGCTCGCTGCCCGCGTCTGATACCTCCCTTGTCCTCTGTCCTCCAGGTCATCCACCAGCTGCGGCTCTCAGAGAATGAGAGCGTGGCCCTGCAGGAGCTGCTGGACTGGAGGCGGAAGCTCTGTGAGGAGAGAGACTGGCAGCAAGTCCTGCAGCACCACGAGCCTCGAGCGCCCCCGCCGCCCCCCTGCAAGAAGCCCACCCTCCTAAAGAAGCCGGAAGGGGCCTCCTGCAGCCGCCTGCCCTCCAAACTCTGGGACACTACCATCTGAGTGGCCTCGACTGCAGACACAAGGACACAGGCCGCCTTGAGGGACATGCTGGGCCTTCTCCCAGTGCATTGATCAGAAAAAGCACAGGACATGGACACTCCGATAGGACACATTTCCTGTGTGCGTGTGTGTACGCGTGCGTGCGTGCGTGCGTGTGTTTTCTTCCCTGTTCTGTGGCTTTCAGGCTCCACATTTTTCGGGCTGCACTACCCGAAGGTAGGGACAGAAAAGCCAGGGCTCAAGAGATGAGGAGGGACAATGGCAGGGAGCAGTGACAAAGGGCCCACAGGGGTCTGGGCACAGGCATTCCCTAGAGCTCGATGGCGACGCGGTGTTGTCCATGCCGTGGTTTTATGCTGACCCTGTGCACAGGACTCATTTATTTAGTTTCTCTGTGGGTGTTTGTATTCTGTTCAAATTCCAGCCCCGATAATCATTTACACATGGATGACTGTGTTTTATAACTTGATTCAATTGGTGGTGCTCCCTTTATTCCAAATACAGATTTTAAAATGCCATTTCTAGGTTTTTTTCCTCCGCACATGTTGTTTTTTTAACCTAAAGTATCCAGTCCCCTGGGGACCATGTTGTTGCTTAGCTTTGCAGTGTCGCCGTGGGCAGACCCTGTGGTGTTTTAGACTCCGCTGTCTGTAGGGACAACTCTGGCCCTCAACAGCCTCCGCTTTCGGCTAAGTGGCGTGTGTGCCCCTCAGAAGAACCCCCACCCTGCCCAGCTTTGGCGTAGGCTCCAGGAAGTTGACAGTGCTCAGCCACATATGTGTGGCTTCAAGTTCACTGCCGATGGTGCAGAAGGTCATCCCAAGGTCACGCAGTGTGGATGGAGGGCTTGGCCGCTGGTTGGAGCCGCGGTGCTGCATGATCCTCAGACCGTGTCCCCTTCCTTCTGTCCCCCAGTGGCTCTGCTTCCGCTTCTCTGTGCACTTCTGTCCCCTGGGGACTTCTCAGCAGTGGCTCTAGACCACCTGTCTTGCTACTTGGAACTTTTTATTCATACCAGCCTTTGGGACACAGCTCTGCCAATAAAAGGGTGCAATTCCATGCTGCTGTGGTATTATTTGCTTGGTGTTGGGGCTGGGTCTTCCAGGAGCACTGGAGTCTTCTGATTAGCTGTATGGGGACAAGGGATCGACCTCACCCCACCTCCCTTAGCCTGTTTGTCTGCACAGTGGTCTGCAAGCTCCAGGATCTGAGGGATTTGTTCTATGAGATAAGCATATGGTTGTTCAGGCAAGGCAAAAACAGCTCAGGCAGCTGCTGCTGTCAGAAAGATAGCCTGCTAGACCCAGAAGTCCCAAAAAAAGTGGGCGTGCAGGGCCACGGGAGGGTCACGTGGAGCAGCAGCAGGGCTGGTCAGAAAGCAGAGGGAGCAGGAAACTAGAACACACCCTCCAGGTCACTGTCACAGCAATGGCCTCTTCTCACCTAACAGAGGCCATTATGGGCCCCCCATCCAGTCATCTTCCAGAGGACCTGCCTGAGATCACAAGAGACTTTAGGGACACAACTACAGCGATGCCTTGGTTCAAGAACTCCTGAATTCTTTCCGCAGTTCTGGCTGCAGACTGAGTTAGAGGAGGACTGAATCAGATTTGATGGTCAGGCTCAACGCTGACCTTCTAAGGAAATTTGATGTGGTTCTCATTCGGTTCAGTTTGCAACCAGAGTTATGGAGAGAACTGAGCTCATGAACCGAAGTACTGCTGTAGCTCTAAACCATAGGAAGGGAGGGAGCCGAGCTTACACTGAGCTCTGCAGAAGGGGCAGCGGGCAATGGCAGGCAGGCGCACAATGGCCTCTCGAGTCCCAACGCCATAGCTGACCTGGGTGCTGGTCCCTTGCCCTCCGGTGATGCTGGGCTGGGAGCAGAGGGTAGAGAGGGTGCTGGCCCTTCGAGGTCTGCTCATGACGAGGGCCCTGGGCTCTGGATTGGCTGGGTTGCCTTTGGAAAGTGAGCTCAGGGTGCTCAGGGGACAGTATCTAGGAGCTGGCAGTCCAGCAGTGGGTGTGGCCGTCCTTCCAGGGTCAGAGGGCTTGAAGCCAAGGCATTGGAACTGACAGAACCAAAAGACACAGCTTAGGGGTGGCCAGTGTGGCATTCCTACTGCTGTCCATCCCTGGCAAGGAAATACAGGTTCACCTGTAGCCTCAAAGAAGCCAGGTCACCACTGCTTCTGAAGCTCCTGCCCCAAAGTGGCAGAGCCCCAGGTTCTTGGCTGGCACAGGGCTCCTGTGACCAGCTTGCCCGACCCTCATAGGTGTTTACTCATCTGCTTGGGTCAAACTCTGAGTAGTCTCCTCTGCATTCCTAAAATGCACGCCATTGATCAGGCTGCTAAGGCAGAGTGCAGCCCCCTGTGAGGCGTGAGCAACATAGGTTCTCAGGGCTTGGAGTCCTGCTAGGAAGTCCAGGGTCAAGGCAGCCCCAGGCCTGGAGTCCTGGTCGCCCGGTGGCTGTCTTCTTACGGTAGCCACCACGGCAGACCAGGCTTCCTCAGGTCTCTTTCCAGGGGCAGTAACCCCATCACACAATGCGACTCGTGTGTGACCTAATCACCTCCCGAAGACTCAGTTTTTATCCCATCTCCCTAGGGGCTGGGTGTCAGCCAACATTCATGTCGGGGCACTGACCTGGGCCTGCATGGCACTCATCATTACCACCTGCAGATTAACACTGGATTTGAAACTCAGGGCTTCAGACCTCCGTGAGCTCATGCTGATGATGTCCGTGTGCCACTTGAACACAGTATTATAGAAACTTCACTTAGGATATCAAAGCTACCTTAGAAATGTCAAATTAAGTGACCTTGTTCAGACACACAGTTGTGTAAAAGTGTGGCATGGACTGTACGGAGAACTGATGTGAAGAAGGGTTCCCACCCCACGTGGGAGTCTAAGCCAGGCCACTCTGTTCACTAGTGCAGCTTTCAGGCCGGAACAGCCCCAAGGTGGCCCTGACCATCCACCACTAGGGTGCTGTGGGTATCAGAAAGTGTTAAATACTTTGTGTCTACAGAGAGCCCCCTGCCCTGCCCAGGGCTTGCTCACCCTCAGCAGCTAGAAGCCAAGCCTCCACCGACTCAGCATGAGGCCTGAGCCTGTCAGCAAGAGTAAGCCTTCTCCACCTCCTCTGTCTCTCCACCGTGGAGAAACATGTTAAGGGCACTCATGGCCAGCAGAGCAGCCACAGGCCTGCATGTCCTGCTTACGTGGTAAGAAGACCAGCAGAGTGCTCGCTTCGGCAGCACATATACTAAGAGAAAGAGAAGACCAGCAGAGATGCAACTGCATCCTCAAGAAATGCTGATGGAAACAGAACAACACTAATAGCTGCAATCATCAGAGATAAAGTCCAAGTCTTATTCTGCATTGAAGTGACCCTCAGAGTGGCCTGCTAATGACCACACAGCAAATAGAGCCGCTTGCTGGTAATAAAGCACTGAATGTTGCTCTATGTGATCAGGATTCCAACAGTTACATATGTTTGCAAAATAATGGTGGTATTTTAATTGCCAACAGACCATAGGGCATGAATTATGATATATTATTAGGTCCATAACCTTATGTTTAGCAATATAATTGGTTTGAGTTATGGCCCTGTGTTCAAATACTGCCCACTCTTATTGCTTTTTTAAGAAATTATTTATGAGAGGGCTCTAAAAAGTACTATCAGAATGTTTATAGTGGGTCAAAATGATTTAAAATATATTTCCTAGGGTGGAAAAAATACATCATTATGACTTAAATAGTGGTATCTAATTCAGTAGGATTATGGTTATATAAATTTATTCAAAAAAATCAATTAAAATATGAAATTTGTGAATGGACTTTACATATAAATATTACACAAATTGGACAAAAATATGGCTAGAAAGATGGATAAACTTCTGCTACAATTCCACTGCTGTCGATCTACATCAGACAGCAAACTCAACTCAGTCTGGACAAAAGACCCTGGGTTACTGAGCCCTAACATTCTGCATGGGGCACGGATCAGCCTGGGCACTTCTCTGAAATACTAGTTTTTCTCTCAACCTTTAAATGTTTCTATTTCACTTTCTTTTTTGTGAGAAGTTAGTAGGATTGATTTGTGCTAATTCTCATGAGAAAAAAAATCTCAAATTAGATGAGGAGAAAACACAACCAGCGTTGAGTAAATTTTTTCACAATTTAATCACATTTTCCAAGTCATTTTAGCAGTACCTAAAAATCCATAAAATGAAGATGAAAGCTGTATTTCTATTTGCTGTAGAAAGGTAAGTTTGCTGCTTTCAAAAAGCTAAAAACATAGCTCATGCTCCTTAAGCAATGACTATAAAATACCTTCTCCCTGAAAGAAAGCTCTGCCAGGGGGGATCCTTCTCAGACATTAGACAAGTTAGACGGCAGAGCTTGGGGCATGCTGAGCTTCTGGCGGAAAGAATTGCTATGCGGCGTGTTCCCGCACCTAAGCACTGTGGACTGCTGGGAGCCTCTATTATTGTGGTTTCTGTAAGTTTCTCTAAAATCCAGGTGATTTGCAAACTTTAAAGATGGTCTTTTTCAATGGATGAGTTTTATTAGAAGCCTGGCATACATCTCGGCCCCCTGTTCCTATTTCTCAGATCATTTTCCAGGGTTTTGAAGTATATTTAGGCTTTAGATATCATTTCTGTATGCGTGGATGCCACCTCTCCATTATGGTCTGGATTTTATGTAGTTTACCGGATCGTGACAATAGCAGGGGAAATTTTGATGTCTTTTCATGAGAAAGTGATGAAAGGTAGGCAAATCTCTGCACTCGTCTCCATGGCTGCCTCATAATAGAGATGCGTCCACTGTGTCCTCACTCATCCACGGTGTCCTCTCCTGCTTTGATCCGTCACCCAGAGCTGGCCTCGTCACAGGGAGCCTGTGTTCCAAGGAAGGAGACCGGGCGTGCTCCGGTGACACTTCCTGATGTCACCGTTGGGTTGCTAAAGTCTAAGGAAAATGAAAGAGAATGAAACTATGGATAAATTCTATGGGACATCAAAGCTCAATAGGAAAATAGAATAAAACCAAATTCAATTTGAGGTTTTGATCTTCTAAGATTTGAACAAACAGGCTGGTGATGCATGCTCTGAAATAATTACTTGAAAAGTACACATGCTGCCATATGCTGGGGAGAAGTTTTCTTATGGTGCCTATTTTGGGGGCCTCTTAAACTCAACTTGATCTAACTGGCTCAAGGGATCACAAGAGGATGGGACAACCAACCTGAGCGGCCTTCTTAGGAGTGTTCACTCAAGGAGCATTTTTAATATTACAAAACTACCCTGAGAGCCTATAACGGTTTGTGTCTCATGTTCCCCCAAAGTCTCAGGCAGTCATTGGGGTGGGCTTTTCATTGGTGACTGAATCTAGCTTGTGACTGATTCATGGCCCAATGCTGGGATTAGGGAAGGGTCCTGGGATTAAGGGTGAATGATTACTGGATCAGTCCACTGACTGGATTAGCACCATCCTAATCCTGCTAGACTGGAAACAATAGGAGGGATATAAAGAGGCTTGTTTCTCTCTCTTCCCTTGCTTGTTTTTGCTGTCTTCCACTGCCATGAACTGTTGCCTTCTGCCATGTGCCACCCTGCCTTGGAGCCAGCCCATTATGGCCTGAAACTTCCACAAACTGTGAGCTAAGTAAACCTTTCCCTGTTTAACTCTGGGTATTGGGTATTTTGTCTCAGCAATAAGAGAAAACTAAGTAAGACAGAATCATTTTATATATATAGGCAGCATATCCATGTGTAATATAGAGAACTTGTTCTTCAGAACAATTACACTACATTTTGTAGTCGGAAAACCACTGTGATTCCTTTGGGCTGAGCAACTGGACCTAAAGCATGATACTCCATATTTTACGTAAATAGCAAGAAGAATTCCCTAACAAAATAGAAGTGAGATCACAGACATGCACAGAATCCTGGCCACAAGTACTAACTGTGTCAAGGCTAAGAAGTAGGAAATTAGGCTGACTTCCTGTCAGCGTTGATGGGTTCTTACGCCTCGCTGGAAACCTTTAC